GAAGAGGCGTATTACGCAAAGAATATTCTCGTGACGGTAAGTTGCAGAAAGTGTAACCTAATAAAAAGATAAAGAAATTAGGAATAGAAACAAAAAATAGAACAATATGACTCTGACAGAAGTTTCACTTATGACCGTGACCACGAGGATAAAGGTAATTCCGAATCAAAAAATTTACGATTCAATGGAGTCGCTGATCTAAACTTAAAGTCAACAGTTCCATGCATTGTTATTATGTCAAAAGTTGTATGTATGATAATGATGATAATGTTTATTTTTAAAATGATCACAAGGCATCTAGAATATGATCAATTTTAAAAATTCGTTGTTCTTTGACTATTATAATGAAATTATTCATTCCGATAAAAGGTTTATATAAGCTGAGAGTCACGATAATACACTAAAAAAAACTATTTAAAGAGTGAGTGTAAGACCTGTTTTTTGCCAAGGAAAATTGGTAATCGATTATTTCTAAAGCATTTCTTGTATTTCTTTTGATAAATTCAAACATAATGGCACAATCACAATTGCACCTTAGCTCTGGAGGAATTCCCAATGGATTCAATATCTTGGCTTTGTATAATCCCAGGTACAAATATAATGCACTTATGTTAATGTCAACTAAAAAGCGACCTGTTAAAAATGTGATCAAAAACAAATCGCCCCCTCGCCCTCCAAATCTATTTTTTCTCTTTAAAAATGCGTTTATGTTGGAGTTCAAGGAACAATTTCCACAACAATTTGAAAAATTAAGTATGCCCAACTTGTGTAAATGCACACAGGAGCTTTGGAAGACTATACCGAGTGAAGTGAAAGCTGCATACGCTAAGTTAGCGGGTATGTGTGTTTCTTTTATTATTATTATTATTATTATTGAGTTTATAATTTAATATAAATTATGTATTATATAGTGGAAGCACAGTCGATCCATAATGAACTTTATCCGGATTATGAGTATAAACCTCGTAAAAGAAATGGTGTACGCGCTCAAAAAGACAGCCCAATGAGTGGGAACTTAGTGACGTTTAGCAGTACATCTTTGTATGATACATTAAGTTCGGAGAATTCATCTTCAATTCTTCAGAAGGAAGATCCACAAATTACTATATCACAAATTACTACATCACCAGTTCTGGAACCACAAATTACATCACCAGTTCCGGAACCACAAATTACATCACCAGTTCCGGAACCACAAATGGTTATTTCACCAGTTGCTACACCTACTACTTCATTTATTAATTCATCTACTACTACTTCACTTATTAATTCACCTATTACTACTTCACTTATTAATTCACCTATTACTACTTCACTTATTAATTCACCTATTACTTCATCTACTACTACTTCACTTATTAATTCACCTATTACTCCATCTGAGGGATCACCTCTTGTTCCGGAGCCAAGATTTGTTATGTCTCCTGATGAAGTATTTGGATTTCCTTCGGGTGGATCACACTTCATTTCTCCTGATGCATCAACATTTGTTTCTTCGTTTGACGAATTAGTAAATTTGGTTGGTGAATCAATTATTTCTGGAGGAGCGTTAGGAATTGACTTTCCCAATAGATTCGACAATATTATTATTCCACCTATTTCTTATGACAATAACTCTTTTCCTGGCGTAAATTACTCCAATTATAGTAATAACTCTATGCCTGATGAATTTGCATTTTTAGAGGACTGTAATATAAAATCATTTTTTTCTTGAACGAATCGGAGGGCACTCCGTTTTCATGACGGTGTATAAGTCCGGCCGTCCGTTACACACTGATTGCTAGATATAATAAGCATGACGATAATGAGTTTTCGGACTATTAGTTCCGGACATTAAATACTTATTATTACTGAGTTGACCTCAGATTCTTTACGAATTTGTATAAAGTTTTTTTT